GTGCAGAAACACGGTGTTAAGAAGCCTTTACGATTAATTAACCGTGACGAATTAAATCACGGTTATTAGTGAAACAGAATAATCGTTGCATCCCTACTTGAGACTAATTTCAGGAATTGTTAAAGATAAAGAAAAGAGCGGGAAAGATGTGAGATAACAGCTTATCTATATGATACACAGCACAGTTTTCACACTCTGAACATACCAGTAAAATGACCTCAAACTTAAGCAGCCAGTGATGTTTGTGCCCATTAAAAACTGACTTTTACATTTTCATCTCTTTCTATAGAAACAAAGTGTGCTGTGTTTATTTTAGGAGTTTGTTTTTCTGTTGTAACTCGTGTTCATAAAGAACAAGTGTATAAATGACGTTTGCTCATATCAGTGTACAGTATGTTGTTTAATATGTGCCTGTCCTCCTCCCATCAGCGCTAATGTTTGTCCTTATTGCAGACGGAGCAGGTAGGGATGCCTGTCTTCATTATGACCCATTTCAAACAGTCCCATGATCCTTCATTCTGTACGTTTAATATAAGGTGCATGCCAATGCTGCATTTCCCAGCCTTATAACTCACTTTAAGCAGTGATGTAATGGTGCAGGAGTTTACAGCTGACCTATTATGCAAAAATCACTTTTATAAGTGGTTTAAGCACAGTTGTGTGGCTATTAATGAATAATTATGAATAATTAATTAATCAGTTCTATTTTTTATAATCACACTTCATAACACAGTCTGCAGAGACACTTTGATTGACATCTTTCCTTTGTAAGTGTTATTAGAGGGCGAAAGTCCCACTCAGTAGTGTGGATCTTCCTCATTAGCATAGACAGCCCTGAGTGAGAAGCAGCCATCCGCCATTTCAGTTTTTACCTGCTGAAGATAATGTCAGTGACTAAGAAAATTATAAATGTTATAAGATGCACAAATGAACACTGTAATCTTCATAAATTACCTTATTCAGAGATACTTTTTGTGACATTTTGGGCTCTTGTAGCTCCGGCCTTTTTTTTTTAAACAATCTCATTTAAATTTAAAGTGACAGTCACCAAAATTGCATAATTTATAAATTGCATAATTTTTATAAAAAAAATAAATAAATAAATAAAATAAATTATATATATATATATATATATATATATATATATATATATATATATATATATATATATATATATATATATATATATATATATATATATATATATATATATATATATTATTTATTTATTTATTTATTGTATTTATTTATTTTTTTGGTATTTTGGTATATAAAACGTGGTATTTTGAGCTGAAACTTCCCATACGCACTCTAGAGACATTTTACATTTTGTGTAAAAGCCCAAAATTGCTCTCCTTTAAACCCTCACAATGCATTCAGATCCACTTTGAACCAGAAGATTTTATATATTTTTTTAAAATTATAATCATTTTGTTTAGAAAGTTTTGATAATGATACTTGCAAATTATTTAAGACAATGCATAAATGAATTCTGCCATGAAAAGTAACCATTAGATAAAAATAATGCATATTTCATGCACAAAAAAAGCATTTTTTGTTGGGCCGTGTCATGAATGGTGTACATTTAGATTTGAAAAATATTTGTCAAATTCATTGATCTTTTCCTTGTATTGCACATGTTTTGAGGACTGAATTGGAGAAAAAAAAAAACTACAAAAAACGTTTTCACATATTGATCAACCACTGCAGCTTAAACCATCGAAACAAGTCAATGTTTTTTTTTTTGTTTTTTTTGTAAACTTCAGAAATTAGGATGTAGTTTTTCATTTAATTGGACTGTTTATGGGTTGTAAATCCCAATTAATTTATTACTTGATATTTTAAACAATTACATATTTAAAAAGAATTTCTTTTCATTACTGTAAAAAGATAATTTGCATCAGACATGTTTGTGTGGTTCATGTGTAATTTTAACGTTCAAATAATTAATTAATTTACTTTAGCATTAATCAAATATAATATGATGGTCACACTCTTCAATAAGGTTCATTAGTTAATGTTAATTAATGCATTTACTAAGATGAACAAACAATGAACAATACATTTACTACTGTATTTATTCATGTTAGTAAACGTTAGTTAATGAAAATACAGTTGTTCATCGTTAGTGCATGCTAACTCATGGTGCATTAACTAATGTTAACAAGCATGGACTTGAATGTTAATAATGCATTAGTAAATGTTTAATTATGATTAATAAAGGCTGTACATGTGTTGTTCATGATTAGTTCATGTTAGTAAATGCATTAACTAATGAACCTTTTACATAAGGGTTTTAGTGAAGACATATTGGATAATATTTTATATCAAATTAGGCATTTTTAGAGGTTTAAATAAACATAGATTATTAAAGTAGTATAGTGATTTTTGAATGCATTATCAGGATTGATTTTTATTGTCTTCTGGCAAGTAAAGCGGTTGTGTTTTGAACTATAAAGTGTCAAGTCTGCCAGTGGTTGTGTTTTCATTACTGAATAATGTGACTTGATCATGTCTGGCAGCAGTGTGACACTGAAATGCTTCACTACACATTGTCATGCTGATAAAAAAATGCTTAAATTGACCTAAGATGCAGTGCAGAATTTAGATGGCAAGGTTATGCTGGATTTCTATACAAACCAACAATATAACGATCAAATAGACCAGTTTGGTAGCCACTAAGACTAGCAAACCACTAATTGTCTAAGGTACTTATCAAAATAGAAAATTTAGCTTGGTAAGGTGTCAAGCTTCGATCCAATTGTTTTTTTTTTTAACTAAAAGCTCTTAATTATAGTCGTCTGCAGGCATTAGTCAAGAAAAAAAAATTAAGCAGATTTTTATTTTTTTGTATTTCAGTGTGTCTCAAGTTTAATTACTCAATACCAATAACATTTACAGTGATTCTGACTATTAAGGAATAAACCTCTGGATCACCTTTCAAAAGAGACCAAAACCTTGCATATACTAAAATGGGTCAGAAATAGCATGCAGTTTACTTTAGGTATGCATTTTATTAGGCATTTAAACAAATTTTACAGGAATGCTAAGATGTTATATATATATTTTTTTAACTGCTTTCATTCTAGCCGAAACTTTATTCAAAAGAAAAAATATTATATGAAATACTGTGAAAAATTCCTTGCTCTGTTAGACATCATTTGGGAAATATTTAAAAAGGAAACAAAATTCACAGGAGAGCCTATATTTCTCACTTTAACTGTATATATAGGGAAGCAGAACTGTTTAGTGTTGATCTCTTGAGTTATTGCAGCTTTTCCCTTCACTTTAATCAAACTGCAAAGAGGTTTAGCAGGATCCTCAGATCCATAGCTACTCTTTAAGACTTTATTAATACCTCATGGTCACATTTCAAACTCCAGGAGATTATTTGCAAAAATATTCCTATATAAATGTAATTGAAGAGTTAAAAGATCTGATTTGATAACATATTGATCACAATTATTGTCATGTTTAGCATTCTTTAGGATGTCATCTTTCATTGGAGCCTTTTAGGACGGTTCTTTTGCAGAATAAAAGCCTCCAGCATTATAATTCTGCATTTCATCCTTTCAACATGGGTTTAGGATAGAAAGGACAAATGCTGTCTTCGATTTAAGCCTGGCACTAACACAGGCTGAAGCTAGAAAAGACGAAAGTAAATATCAGTGTGTGTTCAGTCTGTTCTTACAGAAAGGTGGATTTCACATCGCAGCTGTCAGCGCTGAGTACAAACCACTTCATTGAGATTAATTTTTCAGTTTCAATGCATCTAGTGAGCTCTTATTTAATTTAATTTAATTTAATTTAATTTAATTTAATTTAATTTTAATTTAATTTAATCAATTAATTAATTTATTTATTTATTTCAGATTTAAAATTTTAAACTAAAATGTAGACCGTAAATCTGTGAAATCTTTGCAACTTTGTTTTATTTTTAAATCGTTTGGTATAATATAAATTTTGCAGCCCAGACAAGTTTTTTTAAACTTTAAAGTTGTGGTCCACAGTACATTTTTAAGGCTTAGTTGCGTTTATAAGATGCAAAGCAATGTGTGCTCATGCTTCATATTCATAAAAAATCACGCTATATTTTTCATATATCTCACTTTGATTATATACAGCTACTCGGCTAACATAAAATCGACTGTCATATTTACTAGTTCCTCTGAAAGGCCCACCCTAAAGAGGCACTGATTGGTCAGCCAACAAAATATGTCAGCTAACATAATGTGCTGTGATTCACAAATCGGCTCCACGTCACCTTGTAGCTGTTAGCCTATCAATATGTGCCTGAATCAGAGAGAAAATGACACAGAGGACACAGCTGAATCTCAAGTCTGCTCTCTAAAATAAAATCTGACATGTGTCTTTCACATATATTCAGAATAAACATGTGTAAGTAATATAAAATGTTCAGGTATCTTTTGCGAGTTTGTTATTTGAGATGTAGAACGCACAGAAAATAGATTCATAGAGAGACACTGAAAGTTGCTGCATAGAGAGACATTGCAGTGCTGCTGAAGAATGGGGGTGTTTGACTGGTAAATATGAATTTGTAGCTAAATTGTTAGTGGTGCCAAACAGCATTTCTCTGTTCACATCCTTGTTTATGTCCTTACTGGAACCTAACGTTGATGCTAGAAACTGTGAATTTAGTTGATCAATTTTAACAAATAAAAATACTTACAGGTTGTGGCTTCGTTGGTTGAAGGAGTTTTTAGCTGAATCCAGCACTGAACTAAGAGATTCTGGAAGCTGTCCTATGTCAAATACTATATACATATATATATATATATATATATATATAAAATTATCTGGAATTTAATTAAAATTAAATGCATAATACAATATGGAGACATGAGAGTCTATAAAAAAAACTACAGTAACACCAAAAAAAAGTCTCTAGATTTGTCGCAACTCACTTTTTTGAAGATTTGTCTCTAAGGGGGTCTGAAAAGTCACAAAATATAGCGACAAATTCGGTAAGTTGGCTTTACTGCATGCTTGACATGTTTATATCAGTTTTATATTTTCTAAATGCGAGTTTTGTAATTGTTTTGTAGCACACTAGCTTAAAAAATATCCTTGAAGACTAACATACCCATACTAACATCTAAAAAAACTTTATTTTAATTTCACTGGACCTTTAAGTTAACTTAACAAATTTTTAATTCAATTGGATTGAACACAAAATGATTAAGTTATCCCAAAAACAACTCTAGAATTGTGGCGTTTCAGCTCATTTTAAATAAGTAGTTTGAACAAACAGCAACATTTTTTACAGTTCTTGATCTCGCTGTTTTCCTGAGGATGTTTGTGTGTGGATTCCTTCTCATGAGTGGGATTATGATGCCGCAAGTGTATCATCCGTCAAGTTTTTCTTTTTTTATTTTCGCGCCTACACTATTGCACACCTCTGAATCGCAGCTCTGCTCCGCAAATAAACCTGCTACCTTCCCTTTAGTGATTTAACTGTGAACCAAGCAGAGTGTGATTAAAGACGTCACTGCTAAACTGATGTTATTTATTTTTTTGCCCTAATTGTCTGTACATGAAGACTATACATCAAACATCTGCATGGGTTTTGAGTTGTTCATTGGTGTTTTTCTGTATCTGGGTGTTTCTACAAGTACAGACGCTTGTGATCTTTTCAAACACGCGTTTAATTTGTCTTGGAGCATATTCAGATTTCATGAGGCACAGATTAATGTGGATAAATCATTTTCACACACTGAACATTGCATTTGAATATTTTCATGATGTTTTTTTCATGTTTTCTGATTTAAAACATGTCTTGGACAATGAAATGCAATCTAAATCTGTACAAAAAAAGGGCAAAATACAAAAGTATTTAATTTATTTTAAATTGCATGTTAATTCAAACTAAAATAATATGTAAACACAGAAGACACATTATTATTTAGCTTTTTTATCTTTTAGTTTATTCAATTTGTTGTTTTATTTTTTTGTTTATTTAATTATTGGTAAATATTATATATATATATATATATACATATATATATATATATATATATATATATATATATATATATATATATATATATATATATATATGTGTATATATATATATATATATATATATATATATATATATGTGTGTGTGTGTGTGTATATATATATATAATAATAATATATACACACGCACTCACACACACACACACACACACACACACACACACACACACACACACACACACACACACACACACACATACATACATGCATACATACATACATACATACATAGATGCATGCATACATACATATATATATATATATATATATATATATATTTATACATATAGTTATTTTATTATTTAAATGTATTATTATTTTATTTTGTTATTAATATTATATATTATTTTATTAATTAAATGTATTAGTATTTTATTATTATCATTTCTGTTCTTTTTTGTCGTTTTTCTTTTTGTAATACTGTAAGAAAAAAACATAAATAAAGATTAATAATAATAATAACTTATAATAATAAAAATTTGAATTGTTAGTTAATCTCTGAGCTGTAGTTGCAGAAATGCCCATTTTTATGTTTCTGTGTTTTGAAGTAAAGCCAGAGCTTCTTTACATTGCGGTGTTGTTTTAAAGCAGATGTGTGTAATGAATGCATTTGCCCTCATTTTGTTTACGCATAAGTGCTATTTATAATTAATATGTTGATTAGGCGTGTTATGGTCTGTTTAATACTGTGTGTGTTTGTGTTAAACAGTGGCTCTCGGTTCCTGCAGCCGGCTCAGGTGTGTGACCTGCTCAAAGGTTTAATCATGGTCCTCTGTTACTCCATGATGCACTATGTGGACTACGCCATGATGTACCATCTGATCCGAGGCCAGTCAGTCATCAAACTCTACATCATCTACAACATGCTGGAGGTACCATACTAATGCCCTCACACCTGATTTTGTTTGTGAAGTCTTTGGAAAATCAGATTGTGTTCACATTTGGCAGGTTTGGTTAAATTTAAACGAACTCTGGTGCGATCACTCTTTTAAAGGAACAGTACATACTTTTGTCCACTATATGCACAACAAACAGGCGAATTTTGATGACGCTGTGACTGAGTGTTGAAGACATTTTAAAAACTAGACAAGATTTCTATACTGAGAGCCCTTTGATTTGTTTTAAACATGTATCTGTGCATAACACATTTTCCATCAAGTGTATTGTGTAAATCTATCTGTTATTTCATCTGTCAGGTTGCAGATCGACTGTTCTCATCTTTTGGACAAGACATTCTGGACGCTCTCTACTGGACAGCCACTGAACCAAAATCACGGAAAAGAGCCCACATTGGAGTCATTCCCCATTTCTTTATGGCCGTCTTCTATGTCTGTATCCTTCTTATAATGCAACAAATCTGCAGCACTCGGTATAATGGATATGATGTCTTGGTTTAGTGTTGATATCCGCTATATTTATGCTATTGTCAACTTATGTTGAGCTTTATTGTCAATCCGCTACATCTATAGACATAAAGTGGAATGAAATGTTGTGTCTCGCAGGACCACCGTGCTACATAAACATAAGTAAGGGCTATTTTAAACCTAAACATAACTAACACACTGAAACACTAATCTGACTATACTAGCTACTGACTATACATATACTATAAATACTTAACCATACACCTTACTATTTAAGTACTTTTACATAAGACTTAAAGGTACTTAAGGTTGAAAAAAACTATCTCTGATTCTGTAGATGTAGTTTAAGTAAAGTTATTTTGGGCATGTAGAGAGAGGAGTGTTTTATTCTCAGTTGGTTTGTCAAACCCACTCACGTGTATGAAGCATAATCAAATTTGCATAATATTTAGAGGTTTTTATGTTGAAAGAAGGTATTTCACCAATTTTTGGCTCATCTGTTCAGAATGAAATGTTTTGGTTTTGTTATAAATATTCTGGGTTACATTTTATTTGAAACTCCCGTTGACTGTTTACATCAGTAATCAAATTATTTGCCTTAATCTGAATAAGACAATAATAGGATTTAGGTGTTTACATGAGTTGCTTTTTTGAACCAGTTTTACATGTTATAGCACATAATTCGATTAACATCATTGCATCACTGCGCTATCCACGTTTCCTCCGGAGTTTCATGTAATTTCAGATATTTCATTTTTATTTTGTCGACTATAATTGCAGTTGGGCAGTTTCACCTTTATTCAGGAACATTTCCTGCATGCCCCCCATGGCAAATGAGATATTGGATGCGAGGAACTGCTGGAAGAGTGTTGTTTTAATGGAAGTTGATACTGCGCGCCATATAGGAAAAAACCTCCACATTTCACCATGCAGGTTGTCAGTGGTCCTTCTCTGACTTAGTAGGTGCAGAGAATAGTGTCAAACATCCGTGTGTGTACAGACTATCCTGTTGCAAAATTCGGTGAAAGTCCTGTAATAGTTTGATTTCGGTGTTTACATGTCTGTTTTGCACTTCAATAATGCCACTAAAATTGTCATTCTCCACGTCTTAATCTGATTTCTGTTTAGTTTATTTATGACCTTAATTGGATTAAATGAATCAAAAAACGCTGTTTATATGGTCGACTCTTAATCAGAGTATTGTCTTAATCGTATTAAAATCGAATTATTGGTGTCCATGGAGTAAGAAAGCAGGTTAGGTTTTGATTTAGTTGCATTTAATTATGTATAATTAATTGTAATTATGTGCATTCGTGTATAACATAAAGAAAGAAAACTTAAACCCCTTTTTCTAGATTTAAGATGTCTTTTGTAAACCTTTTGTACCTTTAAGAATTAAGAATTTTGAGCTCTTAGCACAGTGTAGCTGTTTTTGATGCCTGTGCCTTTAATGCAAATGAGCTTGTTCTCCCCGCCCATTGTTTACATGTGTGTATGTCTGCTTTTCTGCTGCATCTCACGTCAAACAGCACAGTGACGGATAAGAAGGAAGCGGATTTCCCCTTATCACAAATACAGTAAAGATTCTCCCAATGATTATTTAATGTATTTCTTGTGTAGTTTATTCAAGCCTTTCTGCAACGATGAGTCACACACAATGCCATTACAAAGTTTGCGTATAGGCACACATATGCGCATTTAACTGTTAACGTGGTTTTTGCATGGCAAATGTGACAGGAAACACGTTAATATCCCCTGCTGTTTGGAAACTCGTTATGTTAATGTACAAAATAAACCTGATTTAATGTCCACAAACTGAGATTAAAGTCTCTTGAAGTATAATTGTACTGGCATGCGGCTGTGGTCATGAATTCCGTAGCGATTTTACTGACATTATTACAGGCATGCACTGTTTTAAAAACATAATAAAACTCATTTTTGAGCTGCAAATGGTCACAGAGAGCAGAACAGATCTTTTAATTGCAGTTACTTTGCACACTCCCTGTCTTGTTGATATGATTATATGCATTACTATGGAGACATGTTAATACGCGGCTGTCAATTAATTCGGTGGGCGGAGAAACCGCACTTTTACGTCACGTTGCGGTGGGCCTCAGAATTACAGGGATTTTATTTTAACATCAGGAAATAAAAAAAGAGGCTTTCTGTGTTTTTATCACTCCAATATGGCTGTGGACACACTATACCTGCACACAGTTCTGTCCAAACAGCTTCCAAAAGTTGATTTTCGTTATAGTTGCCCTTCAAAAGAAAGTGTTATCATTTTTTGTTATAAATAATGCTCTATTCAATTAGATTCAGAAGCATGTTGAATGCTTGATTTTGATTGGCTGATGAACATCACTAGTGTATCATTGAATATTATTTACATCATTTACGATACATATTTTCCTCAGTGTATTTTTCTCTCAGTTCTGCATTCCATCCTCATCATGGTCCAGGCCTCGACTTTAAATGTGGCCTTCAACTCGCATAACAAATCACTGCTCACCATTATGATGTCCAACAATGTGAGTATAACACACAAGTGAAGACCAATTGCATGCTGATTATTCAAAAACAGAATCTGTCGTGTTACTTTTGTACATTTCGCACTTTTATTGATGTGGTTGTTTGTTTCAGTTTGTGGAAATCAAGGGAAGTGTGTTTAAGAAGTTTGAGAAGAACAACCTTTTTCAGATGTCTAACAGCGGTGAGTAAAGTCGTTTTACCACCATAATTATACTGTAGTATAACATGCTTTTCAATTCATTTTTACAATGTAGATTGTGTCAAAGCAGCTTAACATAGAAGTTCTAGTAAACTGAAACCGTGTCAGTCCAGTTTTCAGAGTTAAAGTTCAGTTTAGTTCAGTTCAGTGTGGTTTAATTTCACTGCTGAAAGTCCAAACACTGAAGAGCAAATTTATCGATGCATAGCTCTACAAGTCCCAAACCAAGCAAGCCAGGCTCAGTTAGGCATGACCATTTCTCCTCTTTATATAGCTAAACTTAACATTGTATTAATAACATCTACTATCAGTCTGTAATATATAAAAGAAATTATTAAAATGAATATAATATACCAACATTAATAAGACCAGTTAAACATTTTCCCTGGATAGCTCTGGACTAGGGACAGTATAGGGTTGAGTTAAATGTCAATGTTTTTTTTATTATATAAATGTCAGATAACATTGCGTCCAAATTTCCAAAAAATAATATAGCATATATAGTCATTTAGAGCTCTTTTTATTTATTTATTTATTTATTGTAAAAAGTGTCTTTAGAGCAGAATAAAAATGTTTTTTCATTTGTTGTGATTAAACTGGCATAACTATAAATCAAAATTGTAGTTTTCATATTTTCTAAAGTGCCTCTTAATTTTGTCCATATATATCATGTGACACTTGAGTAATGATATTTAAAATTCACCTTTGACATAAAAAATTTTTTTTTAAAGCATTCAAATAAAAATATCTAATTTTAAATCAACATTTATATATTTTTACTGTATTTTAATCAAATAAAGACAGACTTTGTGAGCAAATACTAACCCCAAAATGTTGAACAGTAGTGTTTGAAATGTCAGTACTCAGCGATCAATATATTTGTCATCAGATCATCATGCTAATTAAAATGTTGCACAGAACACCCCCCCAAAAAAAAACCTAAATAAACAGTTTTAAATGGGGATTATACAGTGCTGAGCATCAATGAACACACAGATCTCTCTTTTAAATGTATATTTATTATATGAAGTTTTACAACAGTATATTTTTGTGCATATAAATTAGATTAGACAGTACAAAAGCCAAAATTGGAACTTTATATATAAAATTGTATTATCTGTTTTTTATTATTATTATTATTATTATTATTATTATTCAAATCAAATTATTAGGCTAGACAAGGTGATCTTATGGAATTGATCTAATACAAAGACTGCGATCACTGCTTCACATAAATATATACAAGTATATACACATGAATTAAACGATTCACTAATCTGTAAATTATCTTATGAAACACCAGTTCAAGGGCACATAAGATGCATTTTGAAGAGAAAGCAGCCAAAGCCCATTTCAGACGTCTCTGCTGTTAAATATGTAGGTCATTTATTCATTCATTCATTTTCTTTTCAGTAGCTGTTGGTAGAGCTGCCGCTGACCACCTGGAGCTTCCGACATTTTTTCCGACACTATCCTTATACATAAACTGCAGATTTGACGTTGAAATAACTATATTCTCGCTTGAAAAACTCTTAAAACTTGATTTTGGGGCATAATTGATGAGTGTTTTTCTTATTTTGCGGATTTCTTGTCCGCCATTAACCGTCCTCAATGGTTTCCTGTGCAGCGCATGCGAGTTGCTATAGTAAACTATACCCGTTTGGGAGAAACGCTTTTATTTCGAACCGTGATCAAAACTTAATGGAACTACCTGTGCGTTTCAATGAAAATAAGGCACACCCTCCAGCCAATCAGAATTAAAAATTTCAACAGACCATGGATTAAGTATATATATATATATATATATATATATATATATATATATATATATATATATATATATATATATATATATATATATATATATAATGTAATACATTTATACATTTCGAACCAGCAACCTTCTTGCTATGAGTGCTGACCACTGAGCCACCGTGCCACCATGAACAAACTCCTATTTTAATGATATAACTGTTTAATAAAACTGTTTTGTTGAAATGCCCCTAAATATATTGCCTATATTCTCTGAGAAATGGTTAAAATCCTATTTATGCTGATAGCTGTATATAGGGAATACAACAGCATGCCTCCGTACTGATTATCTAAAATAACTTATAATGGGCACATGATTTGAGTCTCAGTGATGGCACGTGAAGCTGCAGTCGCGAGCGTTGTGTGTGGGCTCACGCCGAAACATTTTAGCATCTTTTTGAAATGCTAATCACAGCACTCAAGAGCTTTCTGATAACATTCATGCGAGACGCTGACAGCCTGTGGTGTGGTTTGAGTGCCTCTTCCCCTCAGCGTCTTTATGAAAGACACGCTGATATACTGTAATCAACACCTATTCTTCTCAACACTGTTTATCTTTTCTCTCACACAACCGGCCACTAAGTCTTCTGGTCTTCCATTCAAGCCATTGTGATTAAATAATTCCTTAAGTTACTATTCACACACAACCTGCTGTGCATCGTAAAGATACCATCCTTTAAAGTTTGACAGTCTGAACGCTTTATTTGATGGCCGTAGTTTCAACTCACATTTTGCTGAAATTTGAGGCTTCATTTACACTAAGGCCGCACTCACACTATGTACAGTTTCCTCGAACCGTGCCAAAGCACGCTTGTCCCCCCTCCTGTCTCCCCCGACGGCCCGCACTCACATTACTATCGGGCCTGGGGATGTTAACATCATCGCTGCTGCGCTGTTCAGTGAGCGCTCTCGCTCAGCACAGTCGAGATTTCTCTAGATATATCATTTCAGTCGTTTGATATGCAGTGACATGCAGTGAAATATTTCGCCAAACAGTCCTTAGGGATGCGGTGACACGCAGTCAGTTATTTCGCCGAACAGATCTGCCACTTTTGGTGCTCATAAACAACCATAAAGCCCTCGTGCTGCAGGAATGAGGAGGTTCACTGTCGTGCAGTGAGGAGTTCTCGTCTTTAATAAACTACGGCAGTTTGCGTTCATTAAACAGTAAGAATGATTAATTAATCCATATGAAACGGTGCCTTAAAAGTCATGTCTCACTTTCAGTTTCGGGCTTTGGCGCGTTTTGCACTCACACACAAGCGTATCGCGCCAAAGCCCAAGTGAACCGCGCTCAGGCCCACCTCTCTACCCCTGAGCCCGAATCAGCGCACTCGCACCTCCCAAATGATCCAGGAAACGGGCCTGGGCACGGTTCGGATAGCATATTGTGAGTACGCCCTAATACGTTTTCGTTTTAAAACGCATAAGATTTACTATGTTACGCCATCCGTCCACACTACGCCAGAGTTTTCGAGCGCCAAAAACGGAGCGTTTTTAAAACGCTGGAGAGGCCGTTTTTATTTTTAAACACTGCTGCTCTGTGGCCCCATTTACTCTAGTTCGTTTTAGTTTTAAAACGGCGTTATAGAATGAAAATGATTCGTGTCCACACTAGCGATTCACCCATCGTTTCTGAACAACTCTGCGTCTACACCAAACCACTGAAAACGCACATCACGTGACCACACACACACACTCTCTGGCATAGGCTGCAGCATATCTAGCCAGATGAGAGCTGCGCTCGTCGGACTGCTCATCAAGGATCTCCTGCTGGATCTAATCTCACTATATTTGTTAAACGTGATGTTTAATTCATCTTGTTGTCTATATCTAATGACATATTCCCCGACTTTGGTCTTTTGAATCTATTACTAGTTCTCAGGTAACGTGTTTTGGCTGAGCGCAAAGATAAGTTAATAATTAATGTAACCCCGTACATTGTGTATATTGACTGATTGTTTGCTTTTATTTCCTATAATGTATAAACTTATTGTACATTATACTTTTATAATGGCCATTATTGATTATTAAGACTGATATTCAGCAAGAGAGAGGGTGTGTTTCGTATTTTCAATGAAAGTGAAAGGAGGCAGTAATGTTATTGTAATGTTGTTAGGCTTAATTTTGTTATAAATATGCAAACACTGTAGACGATGCATATGCAGCTACACGATACTTTTTACCTAAAACATTAGGTCATGAAAATTAGCTTGAAAGTCTAGTAGTAAAAATGTGTATGAACCCCGTCATGTGTTTTTATTGTGTATTACAGATATAAAGGAACGGTTCACGAATTACGTATTGCTCCTCATCGTTTGCCTGAGGAACATGGAGCAGTTTTCGTGGAACTCAGGTCTGGATTATGACTTTTTTGACAAAAAGGGTTGTTTTAAAGTAGTCATTTAAATTATTTTCAATTATTTATTGGGATAGTTCAACCAAAAAATAATATTCTATCTTCATCGACTCAGACTCGACTTGTTCCAAACCTGTTTGAGTTTTTTTTTCTTTCTTTTTTCTGTTGAGTAAAAAAAAATGTTTATTTATTAATTTATTTATTTTGAAAAATGGGGAAAAACTTGTAGCCCTGGATGGAATTTGGAATTTGATTGTCTTTATGGGAGTTAAAAGTATTCAGAAGCACTGGTCAAGCACTGGGGGGGATGGGGGGGATGGGTTGTCTATCCTTTGTAATCTTGTCGTTTTTAATGAGGTTGATTAACAAACACTGTGGTGATTTCTTCACCTACTATTTGAAAAGTGGTAATGTTGCTTTCAGATCATCTCTGGGTGCTGCTGCCTGACGTCTTTATGGTGATCATGTCTGAGGTTGCGGTTGACATCGTCAAGCACGCCTTCATCACTAAATTCAATGACATCACTGCTGATGTAAGAACCGCAGATTTAAGTTTAATTTTCAAAGTCAATTTGTGGCAAGTGCACATTATTATATTATTTTGATCTTTCTACATAAGTTTATCTTTCAAGCACACACATTTATAGGCAGAGAATATTTAAATGTTCATGTTTTGTGTGTGTGTGTGTGTGTGTGTGTTTTTTTATTAGAATTACTCAAATAAACTTTACACTCTCCACACTGTTTAGTGAATCTGAAACATGCCATTTCAGATAGAAGTTTAAAATGCACTTAGGCTTTTTCATCTTGTTGTGTTTAGGTCTACAGTGAATATAAAGCCAGCTTGGCCTTTGAACTTGTGAGCAGTCGACAACAAAATGTAAGTGCAAGTTTATTGTGTGAATTATCAATGTGATATATAAGCATTTAATATAATTCACATTTTTTGAGGTGTAATATATGTGCACAAGTGTATGATTAGTTAATGTATTTCTATTTACTTACATGATCAAACAATGAGCGATTCAATTATTAAAGAATTTATTCATCTTGCTTAAGATGATTATTAACCTAAGGTAATAAAAATAAAAGTTATTGGGAACACTTATAACTACACACTATGAATCATTTGTTTGGCATTAGCAAATATTGAATTCATTATTTGCATTAACAATACATTAATACAGTGGTTCTCAACCGGTGGGGCGCAGACACTCTTGGGGGGGTGGGGTTTGTAGGGTTGGCCCGAGTATGCTACAGGTTAGGGGAAAAAAAAACTGAAGTAAAAAATGTGCAAATTTGTGTCAGCGTAATAGCCTAGTGGTTAGCATGCTGGCATATGGTGCAGTAGCACCTCAGGGTGTCCCGAGTTCGAATCCCGGCTCAAGGACATTTCCCGACCCTACCCCTTCTCTCTCTCTCCCACTTCGTTTCCTGTCTAAAATACTGTTCTATCCTCTCAATAATGGCAAAAAGACCAAAAATAAATCTTAAAAAAAAAAAAATACAAAATTTGCAAATTTGTGATCTTTGTCCAGATTCATCCGATCTATTTTCGCTGCTAAAATAGACCAAATATAAGTATATATTAGGCTTGGGCGGTATCCAAATTTTGATACCGTCAAACCGCCTCCATATTTTACCCCGGTATCCGGTATTACCGGCGTATTACAGGCTCAGACAGCGTCACCAAACTGTTGGCTTGAGCCTAAACCATTCAGAAACTGAATACCTTCTATGCGACCTTAGGCTCGCGGTCAGAGAGGAGAGAGAGAGAGAGAGAAGGAGAGAAAGAGAGAGAGCCGCACAGCACCTCTCTCTCTCTCTCTCTCTCTCTCTCTCACACACAAACACACACATCTCTCCCGCGATTTATTCAGAAATGTACTCCCACACCGTAAGAAATCTGGCCGGCTCCCGCGGTACTGCAGCGGGAATGCAGAGAGCTGTAATCGGGCCATAAAAATTATACCCGATAGGTCCCGAGTCGGACAGGTACATTTTGATTGACAGCTTTATAAAGCCCGAACCCGTTTACAGCCCGACATTATTCAAATGTGCTCATGCACACAGCTCTAATGCATTTTTTCAAGAATGAGTCATTTATATGTTTTAACATAATTTATTCGTAACAAACGTAGACTATAGGCCACGTGGAAGTTGGAACAAAGAAATAAAATAAGTCCTACAGCTGTAACATCGTAACATCTCAGCACTCTATAGGTCTACATGCACTTAGCCTTTAAATTGACCAACACACCAATGAAAAGTAATCTTGCTTAACAAATCAAATTAAAATAAACTCTAAATGATGACGGGTATTTTGGCAATAACGAAATTAAGATAAAGGCTGTGCAACATTTGTTACGCCTCTTCTCTTCACAATCTGGCATTAGGGCGGCGGTGAAGCTGAATATTAAAATATTAATGCCACCATTAGCCTGTATACTCTGTCTACATTATGATTATATGGTTTAATCAATATTTATTTATAATTGAAAAACCCTTTACTCACCAAGATTAGGCTACGTGTGTTTGTGGAGGAACATTATTAAATTCACTGGCTTTAGCGCAGTCTCTCACTCATGGTGCGTCCAGCAGCTGAACACCCTTTCCTGCGGCTACAGGCCGAGATGCAGAGTTCTGATCTGGCTGATTTTGCAAGTTTTGGGTAGGATTGTTTGTTCATCTTCTACCAGTCAGGAACATCCATTTAATTTGGCCTCGTCATTTTACCTGTCAGCTTGCGGTTTAGGGCTCTACCGTAATACGCAGTGTATGAGCGACCGCGAAATACCTGCGGCTGGAGCCACCTCCTTCTGAGCTAGTGACTGGCTTGACCGCCGTCAAAATTCTCTTTTTTTTACTACTTAGTCATCATTTGATTCACCTTTGCACGTATGGATTTTAATGCAGAGATTTGGATTTTTTCGGGTCTCGCCGGGTTCGGGCAAAGATCTTCAGCTCTAATGCAGACCTCTCGTTCATATTAACCACGTCTCCCTTCTGTTCAGTCGAAACTGCCAAACTGCAGGACACTTTGGAGCGCAACTCGTCACGTCACCTCTCCCTGTCCCTCTCCCCCCCTCCCTCTTCCTCTCTCTCTCTCTCCTCCACACTGTCCCGTGATGACAACCACACATACGTTTTTGTAGGCATTAAATAAAGGATATTTAATATTTTATGACGGTATAACGGTATTGAAACTCACACCGTTGCTATTTTTAGATCCCGCGGTATACCATAATACCGTAATACCGCCCAAGCCTAGTATATATATAATAATAATAATAATAGATGTTGATGAGCAGTTTATAAATAGAGATACAAATGTTGTAATCTTGACTTATAAGCACATGTACAATGTGCTTAATGATTGTGTTTTCAGACCTTGGTAATGATTCATCATTTTTCACTACTAAATTAAGCATTAAATTATTTACAAACAGAATAGTTGGTGTCTTTTTAAGATCATTCATAATGACTATAATAATGATAGTAAACTGCACATTTATATATTATTATTCAGGCATAAACGAATATTTACTTTGTGTGTTAATAAATACCTTAATTCAACGTCATCCAGTTTTGTGACCTAAAGTGAGGACTATGCTTTGTAAATCCTTATAAATGACAATTAAAGGCTCAGTATCAAATCAACAATAAATCTTTACGATTTTATCTAAGCAATAAAACTACTGTAAAGTTTTGTAAAGCATTGCTGAATAACAGGAGTGTCAAAATACAACATAAATTTGGATAAAACAACAACAATGTAATAATTTAACAAATTATTATGACACATTTCAATGTTATTTAGTGATGTTTAAACTGCACAGTAATTTTATTTTAGATATGATTGCTAAGATTTATTCTTTCAATTTGTAGGATTTCATTTGTGTATCTTGAAGTTGTTTATTTTCTTTTTTTCCTGTTTAGAAGAGAACTGAGCCTTTAATTGTCATTTATAAGGGATTTATAAAGCAAACACTCTCCTCACTTTAGATTAGGTCACAAAACTGGATGAAGTTGAGTTAATAAAGCATTTAATAACAAACAAAGTAACTGTTAGTTTATGCCTAAATAATAAGTAGGGCCAGACGAAATCTGCAGATGTTTTTTGCTATTTCTGCGGAATTATTTTGGGAGTATCATAACTAAAACCTTAATATGTAAAATAAAAAATAATCACTTTATTAATGCTTAAAATGCAAATCTAATTAGATACACTTTATTTGGTAAACAAAGCAAGTCTCTCATTTAATAAATCTAGTTAAAAAGACAATAGAAAATATTAATTTATAAACTGCATTGTACATAAATCAAATGAACATTTCTATATTAGTCAATAATATTACTTTAATTAATTATAAAATGGAATTAATATAGATATTGCACACATTTACTCAAGTAAATCAACAGAATTAATGAATAAAAATCTGTGTAGTTGTTATAAAATGTTACTGTTAAACAACTCTGTGCTGTGCAATTACTTTTCATGCTTATTTATAAATGCAACTTATTAGAGTAATGTGTTAAGATATTAGCATAATTCCACCTGAATAGTTATTTTATTATGATTAACTTTGATGCATGTAACCTATTCTAGTGCATACAATAAGCAAATTTAACAATGATAATAATACTTGATGTTTTGGCCTTTACCTCACTAATAGCCAGGCGTCGTATACTACTTCACTGGAAATCAAATAAGCCTCCAACTACATCCCAATGGCTTGTAGATACTATGCATTTTCTTAAGTTGGAAAAGGTTAGATGCTCTGGGAAAACTAATTTCTTTAAAAAGTGGCAATGTTTTATAACTTTTAACTCTCTTAAGGTATTGCCTTCCATTTAATGGATGCACTCTCCTGAGTTCCCTCCCTTTTTAATTTGTTTCGTGTTAATTCAACTTTTTTGTTTTATCTAATACCATTTTATACCGTTTAATTGTAAATATTTACTTTCAACATTGACAATGTATTTGAACATTTAATTGTGATATTTGGTTGTAATTTTCAGTACACTTAATACTCATGTTTCTATTTTTCTTTTCCTCTTTTATTATTATCATTATTATTATCAATATTTCTCTTTTTTATTATATATATATATATTTTTTGTCTCTTTTGTAAAAAAGAAAAAGAATGATATGTAACTATCTGTACTGATGTAATGTTTGTTTTTTCACAATAAACAATTTAAACAAAAATGATAATAATGAAACAATATTTTATTGCAATAGGTTCAAACTGCCTCTGTTAAAAAAATCTGCCCTTGTTTCTGTAAATAAATAGCCTTCTTTGCCAAAAAAATTCATAAATAAATAATAATTGTGGTTATTAATTGACAGGCCTACACAGATTACAGTGACTCAGTGGCGAGAAGAATGGGCTTCATTCCTCTGCCTCTTGCTGTACTGGTGAGAAGATGCATTCACATTGTTCAGCTTCAATTGTTCTACTTATTATTGCTCATAAATATATGAATGCAGTTTCAAACTCCCTGCAGTAATATCTGTGTATTTGTATGCTTCTCAGAATAATCAGTGTTACTGGCGAGCATGCTCTTTCCAGATTGTAAAATGACCCAGTAGAAAGCAAACAATATGTTCCAAGTAATTTTCTCGAACACATTGCATTTGTGATACTGATATGGAGGGGGTTTTGTTTTTGTCTCCTTCAGCTGATTCGAGTGGTGATGAGCTCAGTGAAGATCCAGGGCGCTCTCTCTTCTGTCTGTCTGCTCCTCTTTTATCTCGGGTAAAACGAATTACCTAAAAGTGTGTTGGCATCACATAATGTGTAATTTCAACGCACAACTCTATGTGCAGCCAGATCCTGATAGACCTAGAAAATCTGATTGTTTTGTTTTCCTCCCGTGTTAATATACAGCCTGTGAACGGTTTCTGGGAAGAGTTGTGGGAAGTAGCAGTGCTGCATATAAAAACTACATTTATCAGAAGTTAATGTAGGTCAAACTATAAAAACTATGCATCTAATTTTAGGCTAAATGTAGAAACAAACGCTTATTTTACAAGAAAAGTGTCTTGTGACACTTAAGGTGTCTATCTGTGAATTTTAAATCTGCTGTTTTCATACTACTGAATGATTCTCGCATAGACTGATTGGCGTGATTATGCATTCACAATGGTTTTAACCCCTATAGAGTTTGTGAAATGTATAGTTTTGTTATCTATTGTTTTAAAGGTGCGCTTTATGTACGTTTGACTCTTCCAAAACATAAAAATACAATAATATATTTGCAGATATTTAAGAAACATGCTAAGTGAACATTCTTGTTTATCTTAAAAACAATGCTGAAGTCAGATATTTTGCTTTGAAAATGTGAGTTAAGTGTCGGAACGCTGTCTTTGTTTTGGTTCGTTTAACCTACCAAATGCCAGTTTAGCCATTCACATTTCAGCACCCGGGTTGCCTGGGTGAAAAAACACAAATTTGATTCATTTTTTTATGAATGCTCTCTAAGTATGCGTCCGTGACTGAAAATGCAACCTCCAGTGGACAGAAACAGCCTCTCAAATGAGACAGATTAAGAGTTCTACATAAGGTGGTTATTAATTAGCAAAAAATATAAATATTACAAATGTAAACATTAGGTGAGCAGGCTACATTGTCACACAGGCTACATACACACAAGCGTACCGCGCCAAAGCCCAAGTGAACCGTGCTCAGGCCCACCTCTTCCAACCGGGCCAGGGTCGGCCAAGTGAATCGTGCTTGAGCCTGAATCAGCGCACTCACACTTCTCAAACGATCCGGGAAACGAGCTTGGGCACGGCACGGATAGCATAGTGTGAGTAGGCCCTAAATCACCCTTTTACAATCTCAATGGGTATTAGCAAAACAACAGCTGAAACATCTGATAAGAGGGCCCTGCTGAGCTGAAAGCGAGACGTGACTTTCATATGGATTTATTAATCATTCTTACTGTTCAGTGAACGCAAACTGCTGTAGTGTATTACATACGCAAACCCCTCACTGCACGACAGCTGCGCACCTTCAGCAAACCTCCTCATTCCTGCAGCACGAGGGCTTTATGATTGTTTTGCGGATCTTTTCGACGAAATATCTGACTGCGACCGTGCTTTGGCCCGGTTCGAGGCAACTGTACATAGTGTGAGTACGGCCTAAGTTCACACCTTTCAGTTTGTGGGGGTTGAGGCACTGGTCACCCCATAATATCACATCAGAGTTTAATCAATGTAAATGCAACTGAACTAAAATGCACATAATCTTTCAAAGTGTATAGTAATATTCAATACATGCACCTCTTACCATTAGTTTGCTTTGAGGCAGAGCAGCTATGAGGGAATATTGCGCAAAAAAGCCCCACTCCCTACGTCAATATTCTGATTCATTTGGATGTACACCAACATACTGAGAAAGTCTTAGCAACTTCCGTTTCACGCAGACTTTAATGTAATGTGGTTACATAAAAGTATTTTTCTTCTGGTGATATCTTTAGTAACAATTTAGCAATATTTTGGAAGTAACTTGCTTGTGGTTGACTACTTTTATTCGGATTATTAGATTGTTTGTTTTTGTCTGATTCTGCAGGTTAATAACACTGAAAGTGTTGAATAGTATCATTATTCTGGGAAAGTCCTGTCGCTATGTAAAAGAAGCTAAAATGGAGGGTAAGCTGTTTGAAAGACCAAACCCTCAGACCCCAAAACAGACTCCCAAGAAAACCAACCCAGCCAGATCTCCTCCACCAGCAGGTAACTCCAGTTCTGAAAATAATAATTAATGAAATAATATTTAATTGTATCCCATTTTTGCTTGGTGTTATTTTTTTGGCAACCCTTTATATTAATAAGCTGCTTTTCCACGATACAGTATGGTTTGGCATCTTTAAATCGCATTAACATGAATTAAATCTAAAGTAACCTAAACTAAATTCAAAGCCTGGTATGCAAAATTGCAAAAAGTGCAATAAATTAAGTATATTTTATGTGTGAAGCATTTCTGTGCTACATGCAAAGGTTATCCTGATCTGACCAATCATATGAGGCCTTTACATCCACACCTCTCCAGTAGCTGCTGTTTGGTGAACCTGAAAATAAATACCCATAATGCTGGCAGACAAAAGAGGAAAATGACAACAGCCAATAAGAATCAGAGGTTTTCAGTCATTTGAGGTGTTTTAAAGGGCACCTGTGATGCAAAATCAACTTTTTAAAGGTTAAGGACACCCTCGAGAACTTTTTTTTTTATATTAACAGATTTGTGTGTGTTGAGCATCAGTTAAGACAATGTTAGCACCTGTCAGCTTTAATTGTGGGGAAAACTGGATAATTTTGAGCTTTTGTCAGCTAATTTCAGCTTCCGGGCTTAAAATGATTTTTGGGGCGGATCAAAATCGGCGACGTAGCGCAGTACTGCAAGTGCAATGATGACGCGTCGGTTTCTCATTATTATTCATAGCGGAGTTTTCTTATCCTATAAGAAGAGCCGGCTGCTTAATTATTCATGAGAGCACGTGCTTTCCGAAGGCAGACCTGCCAGTTTCAAGCAAGCTGTGAGACGCAGACCAACGGCACGTAGCCGTTCATGAAGGCTCGTATGTGTTTGTTTCCATAATCCACGGGGTTTGTTGCATGTTTTTCCCCGCGATCTTGTCAGTGCCGACCATACAGCAAAGCTGTGTGTGTGCTGCAAGCATTTTTGTCGGGAGAGCAGTGCGAGAATTGAAGAATGGCGGACGATGACTTTTATCAGGAGTTCGTTCACATTCAGACACATCACTGTGCTGCTGTGTTTGCCTAATTCCTCCATATTACCAGCAGGGCTAATGGTTAAAATAGGCAGGTCAGGAGACCTGGTGCACTGAGTCTGCATTCAAGATCTACAATTTAGACACGGGGATCAAGGGAAAATCCACATTTATAGTGTTTACATGAACACACTTATCTTTATAATGATATAAATTGTGGTTATGTGTATATGAAATTACGAATAACAAATGTAGCAGGGCATTAAATTACTGTTTATTTCTTTGCATTTTAACTTTGTGAACTATAAACTCATGCGTCTCCTCACGGTTTGTGTCTCAGTTTGTGAGCTAACTGTCAACAACAGTTATTCGCTCCCCTTCTCCCCTGCTGGCCACGCCCACTCCTGCCCGATGCTCGCGGAGCTCCTCGCCCATTAATTATGCATCTTTTGAAAAAATTCTGAAGTAGACTTTAACCGAAAGTGGGGGGTGTCATGTCCCTTTAACGCCATTTGTTGCAGAAAGTGCCTTACTTGGCATTTTGACTTATAAACTGTATCTCTGCTTCATCCGTGTCTGTCTCTGTAATTAGCTATGTTTCCACCCAAAGATGCAAATTAAATTTATGCGCAAAACTGGAATATCGCATGAAAGACGTGCGAATAAAGCAGCGTTTCCATCCATTGAGTTAAAGACAACAAAATCGTCACTTCCTGATTAACTGGCGCCAAATATCAAAAGTAAAAATGGAAATTGCTGCGGTAGGAGAAGCTGCATCAATCTTTTCTTTATTTAATAAATTACCTGCGCCTCAGAAGACAATGCTGGCACAAAATGAATTTTGAGGAAATTAATTAATTAAATCCATTTTAAAATAAGGCTGTAACATAAAAAATGTTAAAAAGTAAAGCGCAATGAATACTTTGCGGATGCACTCTACAAGCTTTAAACTTTTTTGAGTGTATGAAGTTTTCAAAAACTTTTGCTTTGTTTATTTACCTTTATTCAGCTGAACCCAAAATGCATCGACCCACCGCCTCCATCACAAAGCAGCCAACCCCTCGAGCAAAGCTGTTTCCTTCAGCTCCGACCCCTGAACCCAAGGAGACTGTCGATCCTCCTCCAGATCCCCCTCCTCCTAATCCAGAAGAGATCATCAGCGCTGACGCTCAGCAATCTACTGAACTTAAACACAGGACCAGCAAAAAAGATCTGCTGGAGATCGACCGCTTCACAATATGTGGAAACCGGATCGGGTGAACTTTAACCTCATCACCCCCACAGCCAATGCTCAGGAACGAAAGTCTACAATGCTTAACCGTGAGAGGCTTTCCAGTGAGTTCATCAGAGTTCGCTTCTGTTCATCTCTGACTGGAAAATAATGTTTCCACGAACATTTCAAAGCAAGAGTCTGTTCACTCTTGGTAGTCTGGCATCATGCGGTGTAGAGTCTAGTAAATATTGCCGTAGGATGTGATTGTCTCGGTTTTATCAGAGACTATTTAAATGAGGCATGAACATCTTACAAACTAGTCTCTGCCCACTCAGAATATGAGCGTGCTGCAAAAAATGCTTTTCTTTCTTGGAGGTTTTGTCTTGTTTCTAGTCTAGATATCTACAAATTCCTAAATCAAGAAGCTTTTTTTAGGTGAGCAAAATATGTTGTCGTTTTCAGAAATAAGAATTTAAATCTAAGCGAGTTTTTCCTTAAAACAAGCTAAATAATCTGCCAATGGGGTAAGCGAAATAATCTTTTCTCTTTGAAATAAGATTGTTTTTTATTTACCTCATTGGCAGATTATTTATCTGGTTTTAAGAAAACTCTCCCCTAATATTTACTTATTATTTCTAAAAACAAGACAATACTTTTTACTTGTCTAGAAATAGCTTTTATTCATCAAACAACAGTTGTTTGACCTGTAGCCAATCAAAATAAATAAATAAAATTATGTAAAAAAAAATATAAAAATATTTAAAAAGTTAATCGTGTTTTTCACTTTGAAATATGAAAAAAATTTGTTTACCCCATTGGCAGATTATTTAGCTCGTTTTTTTTTTAATATTGCCTGATATTTACCTATTATTTTTGAAAACAAGACAATATTTGTTTACTTGTCTAGAAATAGCTTAAATTAATCAAACAACAGTTATTTGACCTGTAGCCAATCAATAATAATAATATTAATAATAATAATAATAATATTTAAAATATTGATGCTTTCATTTGAAAACAATTATTTGGCTTGTTTTAAGAAAAATCTCCCCTAATATTTACTTATTTATGGAAACAACTGTATTTTTAACTTGGTCTAGAAAAAGCTTTAATTCATTAAACTGTTGTTTGTTCTGTAGAATAATTATAAAATTAATTCAATAAAATTTATTTAAAGATACGGTTATTTTTTGTTTACCCCATTGGCAGATTATTTAGCTGTTTTAAGAAAACAAGACAATAATTTTTTACTTGTCTAGAAAAAGCTTCAATTCATCAAACAACAGTTTGTTCTGTAGCCAATTAAAAATAAATAAATAAAATTATTAAAAAATAATTTAAAACAATTATGTTTTTATTTATTTACCTCATTGGCAGATTATCTTGTTTTAAGAAAACTCTCCCATAATATTTACTTATGTCTGTAAACAAAAGGCTTCAGTTCATCAAACAACAGTTGTTTGATCTGTAGCCAATCAATAATAATAGTAATAATAATAATAATAATAATAATAATAATATTTAAAATAATGATGCTTTCACTTTGAAATAAGATTACTTTTTATTTACCCCATTGGCAGATTATTTAGCTGGTTTTAAGAAAAATCTCACTTGTTATTTAATTATTAATTCTAAAAACAGGGGGAAAAATGTACTTGTCTAGAAAAAGCTGTAGTTCATCAAACAACGGTTGTTTGTTCTGTAGCCAATCAAAATAAATAAATAAATAAAATGATAGAAAAATATTTTAAACTATTATGTTTTCATTTTGAAATCAGATTTTTGTTTACCCCACGGGCAAATTATTTACCTTGTTTTAAGAAAATTCTCCCCTAATATTTACTTATGTCTGAAAACAACAATATATTTTATTTACTTGTCTAGAAAAAGCTTCAATTCATTAAACAGCAGTTGTTTGTTTTGTGGAATAATCATAAAAATCATTTTTTTTAAATGTATATAAAATAATTATGTTTTCTCTTTGAAATGAGATTATTTTTTGTTTACCCTATTGGCAGATTATTTAGCTGGTTTTAAGAAAAATCTCACATAATAATTACCTATTAATTCTGAAAATAAGACAATACTTTTTTACTTGTCTAGAAAAAGCTTAAATTCTTCAAACAACAGTTGTTTGATCTGTAGCCATTCAAAATAAATACAATTGTATAAAAAGTAATCATGTTTTTCACTTTGAAATAAGATTACTTTTATTTACCCCACTGGCAAATTATTTATGTTGTTTTAAGCAAAATCTCACGTAATATTTACTTTTTATATCTGAAAACAACAATATTTTTGTACTTTAAAAAAAGCATTAATTCATCAAACAACAGTTGTTTAAGCTGTAACCCAATAAAAAAGATAAATAAATAATAAAAAATATTTTTAAAATAATCTTTTTTTGCTTTGAAAAAAGATTGTATTTTGTTTAGCACATTGACAGATTATTTAGCTGGTGTTAAGAAAGCTCTCCCCTAATATTTACTCAGTTACAATATTATTTACAATATTTTTACTTATCTAGAAAAAGCAGTTGTTTGACCTGTAGCCAATCAAAAATAAATAAATTAATAAAATTATATAAAAAGTTATCTTTTTTTTTCACTTTAAAAAAGATTACTTTTGTTTACCCCATTGGCAGATTATTTTGCTGGTTTTAAGAAAAATCTCCCCTTATAATTACTTATTATTTCTGAGAATAAGGCAATATCTTTTTTTACTTGTCTAGAAAAAGCTTCAGTTTATCAAACAACTGTTGTTGGATCTTTAGCCAACCAAAATAAATAAATAAAATGATTAAAGAAATATTTAACACAATCATGTTTTCGCTTTGAAATAAGATTATTTTTGTTTACTCCGATGGCACATTATTTATCTGGTTTTAAGAAAAACTTTGCTTATTATTTACTTAATTTTTCTGAAAACGACAATTTATTTACTTGTCTAGAAAAAGCTTAATGCATCTAACAACCATTGTTTGATCTGTAGCCAATCCAACAAAAAATTATAGAGAAATATTTTTAAAAATCATGTTTTTTGCTTTGAAATAAGATTGGCAGATTATTTAGCTGATTTTAAGAAAAATCTTGATTAATATTAACTTATTATTTCTGAAAACAAAACAATATTTGTTTACTTGTCTAGAAAAAGCTTCTTGATTAAAAAATCTTTAGATATTTGGACTAGAAACAAGACAAAAAATCTAAATTAAAAAAGCTTTTTTTTCAGTGTGGAAGCTAGGAAACATAAGTTATTTTAGTTAATAATTCACAACTCGTTAGATAAAGTAAATGTATATAATCACACACTTTTGAAATAGAATAAAATTCCCGTTAGATTTATCTCCAAGTTATTTAGCACCACTGAACTCTTCTAACAACTCATGACCGATAAAAGGGAACGTCCAAACTAATCCAGGATAATACGATACAAGGTGCCAATTCAGCTGATGTAACTTTGCACTGATTTACCACGTTGTCTTAAGCTGTACAGAGTATTTTTGTTTATGAGTATGCTATCGACATATTTAACACCAGCTATGAAAGAGTAAATGACTGTTTCATAAGAAGTGTAATATAAAATAAGGGTGTGTGTTTGTTTTTTAATGCACATTGTACGTGCATTTTGGAGCTCAAATCATCTGTGACCAATCATATACCTATTGTTTGATATAATTAATATTTTGTTGTTTTAAATGTACTTAAATTATTATCTAGGAATGGATAGTTCATGTTTGTACTATTTTATAATGTGGCGATTAAGTTGAATGTCAATCAAAGTCCATGTATACCTCCAGTATACATTCATGAGGTGCAAAGGTACCAAAAAACAAGTGACTTGAAATGGGTATTCCATCGTTCTCTTTTGACTGAAAATGTTTTTGAGAGTACTTTAATAGAAGCATTCCTGCCGCGTTTTGAAATGTGAATAATTTACGTTTCGTTAGATTGTACTTTGTTTTTAATATCATTGAAAGGTGTATTTTTGGAGAGATTGTGAACAGGGTTGCACAGCTTGTTGACCTCGTTTAGTTGTCATGCTATAAAAATAGTTTCACATGTCAAAGACTAAACCATTGGTTTTTATTTAATGCCATCCCTGTTTTTGGGACCACAAATAAAAGGTGTTTTGTATTTTCTGTTTTTTATTTATTTATTTTTACAGGCAAATACATATATATATATATATATATATATATATGGTTTTATTTGGTCAATGGACAAAATGTTGTGGTTTTTTTATGGTGAATCTGCACTGTAAATCATATCTGTAAATTTCTGTATTTTTTTTTTTATTCATGTTTTTAATATATTGTTTTTCCTCATTTATTTATGCTTTTGAATGGCATTATAGGACCTTGATTTTCTTCCCAACAACTTTTAACCTTGAAAAGTTTGAAAAGATGAATTTTATTAACATTTTTAATAGTTTAAAAATAGTTTTACTAATGTAAAGTGATATATTGTCTGAGTTGGTGTATATTATGGTGCAAAACGCTTGTTAAGAACTGCATTTATGTTATTTTACAGACTTTTTTCTCTATATATATTATTTCTTATTATTTCAATACTAGAATGTCAATAAAAGTCACTTTGTTAAACTGTAGAGCAGGGGTGTCAAACTCAATTCCTGGAGGGCCAAAGTTCTGCACAGTTTATATCCAACCCTGCTCCAACACACTTACATGTAGGTTTCAAACAAGCCTGAAGGACTCAATTAGTTTGATCAGGTGTGTTTAAGTAGGGTTGGAACTAAACTGTGCAGGGCTGCGGCCCTTTTGGAACTAGGTTTGACATCTGTGCTGTAGAGTTAAACTTACACCATCAAAGTGGACAGAGCACAGATTAATATCCCATAACCGTAAATCAATGGAAAACATCACCAAAATACTGTATTTCACGATTTACATGTTTATTTAATGTTATGAATTGCATTATGGGACCTTGATCTGTTGACGTTTGATGTTGAAAATTCAACTGTGCAGTTTACCAAAGTGACTTTTGTTGATATTTTAGAAGCAATATATTGTATAAGAAATAATATAGAGAGAATTAAGTAACAGAAAAGATACTAGCAGTTCATTTCCAGCTTTTTAACATAATTTACAACCAATCACAAGTGATATACCACCTCAAACTGTTAAAAATGTCAATAAAAGTCGCTTTCTTTGTCTTTTCAACATCAAAAGTTGCTGTTGGTGGAAATAATTATACTATTATAAGTAAACCTGAATCAAAAGAAAATACACAAAACTGTTAAATGACGAATATTTTTTACAGCATTTCAGGAAAAGTGCATTTCTGCTACTCTGCCTCTCATCGTCTTGTGAGTATTTTACTGTTTTTATTCTTGTTTTAATATAGTCAGTATATTTTTACATTTTCAGGTTTTTTTTACAGTGATGTTTGATTTGTTTGATTAATGGACAAAATTTAGTTTAGGTTAACTCTACATGAGTTTGCACAAAAATATTTGTTAATTTAACAGGTTTTGTATTTCATTATTTACAGTTTTTTCCAGTTTTCAAGTAACTTTTATTGATATTTTTGTAATTTGAAGCAATGTATTGTACAATAAAATGTATAGAGAGAATTAAGTAACAAAAAAAAGTACTAGCAGTTAACTTCCAGATTTTTTACTATAATTTACAAGCAATTGCATACGATATACCACTTCAAACCATTAACAATGTCAATAAAAGTCTTCTTTTTTGTCTTTTTAATATCAAAAGTTGTTGGTG